TGATAACTGTTGTGAAGACTCCTTCCCTCTGTGTTGGTATTTTGAGCTACTACATCCATGAGTATAGGTTAGATTCATTAAATTGTAGCAATTTACCCTTGTTTTCCTTTATAAAAAAAAAAAAATTAAAAAAAAAAAATTTTCCTCTAGTCGAGTTGTGATTATCAAGCCATCGAGGATAGGTCAAATGAGTACTATCTCCAAGTTTGGACATTTTTGTGTAGCTCCCCTCACTTCATATCAGCTGGATGATTCGCTCTCAGATCTATCCCTTTGTGGCTATGTCCTTGTCCATGGGCTCAGGTGTCCCCAGGTCTCACCACACTTTGGACCAGCCAGCCCTTCCTCTTCTCTCTCTCATCTCCAGGTATATACGAGTCAATCGACTGTGGTTGAACTCAGCCCATTCCTTCATTGCTGTCTTTCCCTCTCTTCAACTTACCAGTAGACAAATGTGGTTTCCAGCAAGCTTCCATGCCTGCTCATGTGTTCCCTTTGAGGTTCAGTTTTAGAGGGGGGTTTGTTCCTTCCATCTTCTTTTGATACTTTCTGCATCATTCAGTATTTTGCCCATAGAATCCTTCAGTATTTCAAGTTGAGATTTGAATTTTTACTTCAATTCTTTCAGCTTCAGGAATGCTGAGTGTGTTCTTCCCTTTTGGTTTTTTAACTCTAGGTCTTTGCACATTTCATTATAATATTTGACTATCTTCTCATGCTGCCTTACAGATTTTTTCTTTTACCTCCTCATTTCTTCCATTTGCTTTAGCTTCTCTACTAAGTGCCAGTTTTAGAGTCTTTTCTGGCATTCAGTTTGTTGTTTCATTCTTTCCTGGCTTTTAAATGACCTTTTGATTTCTTCCTATGTGATGTTGCTGTAATTCCACAGCTCTTCTAGTCTTCACTCAGTGTTTAATGCAGCCAGTTTGTTCATGAGGTGCTCTCTAAATTCAAGTGGGATATATTCAGGTCTTATTTTTGCTCTTGTAAGCTTATTTCAGTTTTCTTCAGCTTCAGCCTGAATTTGCATATGAGCAACTGATGATCTCTTCCACAGTCTGCCCCTAGCCTTCATTTTCTGAAGACACGGCGGTTTGAAGGCACTCATGATACGACTGGGGAGGAATTGCATCCTCAAAGTAGAGTTGACTCTAATGATGATGATGGAGCAAAGCTTTATGGACCTTTATTTGATGATGGGATGAGACTCAAAATGAGAAGAACGAGCTGCAAAAGTACATAATAGAACATGGAATATTCAAAGTATGAATCTAGTAAAATTGGAAGTCAAAATTGAAATGAACCACATAAAGAACAATATTCTAGGCTTTAGTTAGCTGAGATTGATTGGCCATTTTGAATTGGACAATCATGAAGTTTATTATGCTGGGAACAACAAAGTGAAGAGAAATGGTGTATTCAAAAAGAACATTTCATGATCTATCTTGAAGTACAGTTCAGTCTGTAATAGGATAATATCCATATTTTCAGTAGCCTCATATACATGTGAAAGCTGGACATTGAGTTAGGAAGACCAGAGAAGAATTGATACATTTGAGTTATAGTGTTGGAGGAGAATATTGAAAGTACCATGAACTGCCAGAAGAACAAGCAAATCTGTCTTAGATGAAGTACACCCAAAATGCTTCTTAGAAGTCAGGATGGTGAGACTTCATATTTCATACTTTGGACATGTTATCAGGAAGAACCAGTCCCTGGAGAAGAACATTATGCTTGGTAAAGTAGAGGGTCAGTGAAAAAGAGGAAGACCCCCAGTGTAATGTGGAACATGATTTTAGGGGTGATGGGAGGATGTTAGACTTGGTACTATGCTTAAGTTACTACAATCTTGGATAACCAAATGTTGAGAGTGTTTTTCACAATGGAATGTCTTTCGGCATGGCCCTTATAATGTTCCTTTAATGATTTTTTTTGACAGATATGTCTTGATTGATACACCTGGACAGATTGAAGTATTTACCTGGTCAGCTTCTGGGACAATCATCACTGAGGCCCTAGTGAGTATTCTAGAATCTGTTACTAAGAGTAACTAGAGGGCTAGACTTGGTTATCTTTTTATTGCTTGGGATTTTCCTGGAAAGGAGTTGTAGAAGCTCTGTACACCAAACCTAAAGTTGTTTTACCTTGTTAAGGAAGTTAGGAAAAAGAGTTGAAGACAGGTCATGAGCTTTTTGAGCAGGCTTGGGTTTTGGTTTTGTTTTGTTTTTTTGCTTTAGGCATCCTCATTTCCAACAGTTGTCATCTATGTAATGGACACCTCACGAAGTACCAACCCAGTGACCTTCATGTCCAATATGCTCTATGCATGCAGGTAATTGATTGTTGGTGGGCATAGTATTTCATTAAGGTATGAGATCTCCTGCTTTTCTCCTTCCCTCCCTCTCTCATACCCCTTCCTTTCTTTTACTTTTAATATTATTCTGTCATGTGTGCTTGCCCCTAGATTTGTGCTCATTCTGATTTGTCAGTCAGTTTAGTAATTGAATTGGAGGAGGGTCAGAAGAGAAGAGGCCTTGTGCCATAGACATTTTATTTTCTATGAGCAATTTCTGATCTCTTTCTTGTTAAAGTAGGTGCTGTATGAATATGAGTGTTTTGGTGGTTGCTTCTATTTGAATGAAATCCACATTTAAACAGAAACAAGCCTAAATGCTGCTTTTGTATGTGATGCTAAGGTTGAATGAAATCATAATGTATGGAAAGACTATGAATAAAAATTATTTTCCCTTAGTTCCAAAATGCACAGGTTTGCCCCAAGTGTAGCATCATTAGAAGAAGAAGGACATGCCTTGCTTTGTGTGTACACAAAAGTCATCACAACATTTGTCTTTTTTAATACTACTAGGGCTGTCCCTTTCTGTTAAATGTAAATGATGTTAATAATGTGTTGGTATTTGATTTTCAGCATCTTGTATAAAACCAAGCTGCCTTTCATTGTGGTCATGAACAAAGTAAGTGGATATTTCCTGGTCTGATTCAGTGTTTGTTTTTCCTTAGAACCTTGTGGTTTGTTGGAAGATTTGGGTGGGTGAGAAACTGCTAGAAATTACATTCAAGTTGTACTGAAAAAAGTCCTTGACATTTCTAGGAAATGGATGTAATCAAATTGAATGCAAATTTATCACTGACTCTAACCCAAAATGGTTTTAGTCTAGGTAGATTGCCCTTAATCTCAGTGTATAGGCTGTCCCTCACAATCAGAACTGTAAATGACTGTGGGACTACTGGTCTGTTAGAAGCAGTAATGTAAATAAAAGAACAAAACCTAAAACTTCCCTATTGTCAGTGATGGCTAGGATGCACGAGACTACTTGACTCCAAAGCTGAGAATATGCTGGCATCCACTGTGGCCGTGGTCATTTGGCAGTAGATAGTGAAGGGTTTGCTTCAACTAAGAGAACATTGATCTTCTTTTGATTAATAGATTCCTGTACTATAGTTGTGGCTCCTTGTGTCCTTATGGTTTGTTGTAATAGAAGGGGAAACAGAAAGAAGAAAATATGAATGATGTGCTATGTACTGTCAATTAAAAAAAATAACTTTTGCATTGTTTGATGTCTAACCTCATGTCTGATTGCTGATAATTGACTTCTCTCTGGTACAGACTGACATCATTGATCACAGTTTCGCAGTGGAGTGGATGCAGGATTTTGAGGCTTTCCAAGATGCCCTGAATCAAGAGACTACATATGTCAGTAACCTGACTCGTTCCATGAGCTTGGTGTTGGATGAGTTTTACAGTTCACTCAGGGTAAACTTTCTTTCCTACTCACCTGACAATCTTTCTAGATTACCTCTTAACCCACTAGACTTACTTTGGAACAACTTAGAAAGGAAGTTTACTATCATCTAAAAAATAAAATTTAAAGCATTATTTGCTAAAAACCAGAGGTTTAAGAGATAAGATAGACACCCTTCCCTTAGAGTTTATGGCTTACTTAGAAGAGAAAGGAATATACAGAATTAAAACATGAGATATATTGTAGTGAGTATCTTTAAAAAGGTTGGAATTGGGTGTGATGGTAGTGAGGGGGCAGATCACCTTTGAGATGAGATCCGCGTTAGATTTATGCCATGAAAGAAGTGGGTGGGACTTATGTAAGCAAAAGCTAGTGGGGAAGTATAGACAGTCCCCAGGTTACAAATGTCTGACTTAAGTATAACCTATCTGATTTTTGTACATTTCATAATTATGAACCAACTCCCATGAAACCTATTATATTAAATATTTGAGGTAATTACAGTAGTTTGTAATAATAAATAGGAACTCCTTACTTTGTGATGCACACCAGAATGTTATTTCTATGTTGTCAGGGTAAAGATGTACCTGGAAATGTTTCATGTTTGCATGCATAGGAAGGTACACTATCCACTATGTAAGGGGTCCTGGTGGCACTATAGGATATGCACTGGATGCTAATTGCAAGATTGGCAGTTCAAACCCACCAGCCACTCTCTGGGAGACAGATGAAGCTTTATGTTATCATAAAGATTTTCAGCTTCAGAAACCCTGTCCGGGAAGGTTTTAGGTTCGAATTGACTCGATGACACTGGGGTTTTATACTCTATATACTAAGACAAACATTTGACTAATTGATATTTGAAATGAACTGTACTTAATTGATCAGACTTATATATAAATTTGACTTAAAAACTTGTTCATAATATGAGGACTGTCTTATGTTAATTTCCAAGCAAAGGCATTAACCTTACTGTTTGTTTTAGCTTGACTTTTTCCTAAGACATCTTAACCTTAAAGTATCTAAACCTCTTTTCTGGTGGCTTTTTGTAATTTAAACAAAACCATATTTGACATAAAAAAATTTAGTTATTTCCTTACTGGAATTTGTGCCATTTTCACAGGTGGTGGGTGTCTCTGCTGTTCTGGGTACAGGCTTAGATGACTTTTTTGTGCAAGTTTCCAGTGCTGCAGAAGAATATGAAAGGTGAGAAAAAAGGAAAATCCTATTGAGGGTGTTCTTAGTAACCTTACAATTCGGATATGATAGTAGTTTTACCAGGCAAAGCATTTAGGTTTGCATAGTGTGTGTGTTTGATTTGCCATGCATATATGTATTGGATCTGACCACACGTCTGGGTAACAACTCTAATTAGGAGCAGGGGCCATCATACTTTTAATAGTAAATATTTTAGGCTTTGCAAGTCATATAGTCCCTCTGGCATCTACTCAATTGTATTATGTTCTAGCATATTACAAATGCTTTGTAAGACAAAAGCATCCATAAGCAGTAAGTAAATTAATGGGTATGAATATGTGCGTTTGATCTGAGTCTGTGATTAAAAGCATAGACTCTGTATTCAAACAAGTGTGGGTTGGATTTCTATTTCCTCTATTTAGTAGCAGGTTTTCCACATTTGTAGAATAGGGATAATAACATTTTTTGCTAAGATTGTTCTGAGGGTTATTTAAGAAAATATATCTAAAGCATCTAGCACCGTTGTTACACATAGTAAACACATTTCATAATAAATGGTTGGTATAACTGTTGTTAGATTCCTGGTGTAGTTTTGTAGAATCAGCACTGGACTGCAAACCACAAGGTCAGCAGTTGAAACCCACCAGCCACTCCTAGGAAACTATACAGGGTTGCTGTGAGTTGGAACTGACTTGATGGCATTTACCAAATAACTATTGTCAAGGTTAATGTTGAGGTTCCATTTACCTAAAGGAAAATGTCATCAGAGTACCTACGTACTTCTTAGGCCCATGGCTTAATAGACTGCTTATTAGCATGGTTTATTGGTCTTCATATTTAGCATAGATCCTAACAACCATATTGTGATTTTCAAACACATTATCTTGACAGATCAAAGTTTTTTTGTGTGTTATCAACTCTTCAAGAGAGACTATTTTTGTATCCTTTCATTATTGTCAAGGTTAAACTACATAATTATTTATTTGACTTCTAAAGCCAAATAGGCCTGGCTTTTCTTACTCACCTCAAATATTTATCCATATGATGGTGAGCACATCAACCTTGATCTCTCCAGTGTACACCCTTCAGCCCAGCAGTCAGGCCTTTAGCTCTGCTGATTTCTGGGTGGGATGAGTTGGTTGGCTGGTACCTTGGCTTTTTCTTTTTTCCTCTTCTTATGGTTTCCAAAGAGATACTGATTCTTTAAAAATACTATTTTGTCTGAAAGGACCTACCACATTATCTCATTCATCTTGGCCTATAAACAAGTTGTATACATTCTAAACTTTAAATGTTTAATAAAGAACCAGCTCACACATAAAAAACCTTTTTTTTTTTTTTTGTACATTGGTTTTTAATTAAGGACCTTCGGTAGATCTATTTGCTAAACGCTGGAGTTATAATTGTAAGTTGGTGGTTCAAACCCATCAGTCATTCCAAGCGAGAAAGATGAGGCTTTCTACTTCCATAAAGATGTATAGCCTTGAAAACCCTATGTAGGGTTTCTGCGAGTTGGAATTGACTCGATAGCAGTGAGATTGCTTTAGGTTTTTAATTCCATAGGTAGACTCTCGGTGACCAATCAAGACTTGTTACACCTAAATAATCAGTCAGGTGAGATCTTTAGTCATTGTCAGAGTCCTAGGAAAGTACAGTGATGGGAGTGAGGGTGGGAGTATGAGGCAGGATAGATTATTAGGCAAAGGAATTAAGAAAGTGTTCCTCTTTCCAGGGAATATCGTCCTGAGTATGAACGTCTGAAGAAATCATTGGTAAGAATGGAAGGTGCTTAAGTATTTTATAAAATATTTGTATGTATTTTACGGCCATCAAAAAACAGCCTCAAACATGTACTAACACTGATGACATATATCTATTTATTTTGACTATCAGTATACTCTTGTAGCCTAGTAGGTTATGAGTTGGGCTGCTAACCTCAAGGTCAGTAGTTTGAGTCCATGAGCCACTCCATAGGAGAAAGATGAGGCTTTCTGCTCCTGTAAAGATTTACAGCCTTGGAAACTCTTTACAGAGTCGCTATGAGTCAGAATCCACTCCACAGCATACCACCATCACCACCATCATCAGTATGACTATCTTTTGGACACTTGTTCATTTAAATTTATAAATGTGTATGTATGGTCTGATTGCAGAAAGGCTCCTTAATTAGTTTTATCCTGTTTGTGTGTATTTGAATTTTGAAAAATCTAATATTTCAAGTTTTATATGCTAAGTCCTTTAGTGTTATCTACCCCGACTCCAAAGGAGCTCTGGTAGTGTAGTGGTTATGAGTCGGGCTGCCAACCTCAAGGTCGGCAGTTCGAAACTACCAGCAGTTCCTTGGGAGCAAGATGAGGCCTTCTGCTCCTGTAAAGATTTACAGCCTTGGAAACCCTGTGCAGGGTCACTATGAGTTGGTATCGACACCACGGTACTTAACAACACCCCCACTCCAAGGTCCATTTCAAAGCTAGTTTTAGATTATTTTCTTTATAGAGAACAGAGAGACGGCTCACAACTCTTAACCCACATGATCAAGTGTCCTGCCTTCATAGAGGCTGCATTGGGCCCTTTATTACAGAGCCTTCCTACTATGTCTACTTGAGACTTCTTTCAATGTTTCTGTGTCCTATTTATGAATTCTCTAATTCAGTCAGTAGAAGCCTCAGGCAGAACTTCTGCTGTGGTCTGGTCCTACACTACTTAGTGTCTGTCCCTGTTTTAACCTTCCTTATCTGCCCCAACATTTAGAGTCCTGGTGTGGCACTCTGCGTTAATGTGTCAGACTGCAAAGCTGTGTGAATTGCAGTGTCGGTGGTTCAAGCTCACTAGCCGCTCCTTGGAAACCCTATACAGGGTCGCTATGGGTTGTGTCAGAACCTACTCGATATTTATTTAACAATAAATATTTGCATAGTTGCTTGTCTCTGCTTAGAAATCTAGTATCTAACTCGAGGTTTCCAAAAAATGTGATGATGTTTTTCTCTATATACGAAGGCCAGTGCACAGAGTCAGCAGCAGAAAGAACAGCTGGAGCGCCTTCGGAAAGACATGGGCTCTGTGACCTTGGACACTGGGACTGCCCCAGGTATGGGAGGTCTAGTCTGGTGGTGTTAGGAACTTCCAGGAGAGTATAGTTTTCTCCACTCAGTGGGAATATTGTCTATATATATATATGTTTGCATATGTATATGAAAGAGAAAAAGATAAAATTTATTTTTTGAAAATATATGACTAATTTGAAAAGGTGTGAAACAGTGAAAGATATATACAACTACCCTTTGGGTTATTCCTTCAGAAAGTTTTCAATTACTTTAGCAAAATACTTGATGTTTACCTAATTACTTTTTAACACCTCCCTCCTAATTTTGGAGTCCCAGTGTGGCACTGTGGGTTAATGCGCTAGATTGTAAAGCTGTTTGAACTTCAAGGTTGGTGGTTCAAGCTCACAAGCTGCTCCTTGGAAACCCTATGTGGGGTCGCTATGGGTCAGAATCTACTCAACAGCACTTAACAACAACAACAACAACTCCTAATTTTGTTTTTAATGTATGTTTTCACCTAACTTCAGATTTACTGAGGAGTGTTTACACAGTACAAAGCAGTGTCATGTACTGTTTAGCTAGATTACCCAAATGTTATCATTCTACAACATTTTATTCTTCTTTCTTTCATATATAATATAATGTAAAATATTTACAATATGAGCCCTGGTGTGCTTCTGTAGGATAAGCACTAGACTGCTAACCATAAGGTTAGCAGTTCAAACCATAGTGACTCTAAGGGAACTAACTAGATGAGGTTTTGTGCTCCTGTAAAGATTTACAGCCTCAGAAACCCTTTGAGTTGGAATAGCTATGAGTTGGAATTGACTTGATGGCAGTGAGTTTGATTTTTGGTTTATTTATAATATAAAATTACATATCTTTATATATAAACAAAAGGAGCTCTGGTAGCGTAGTGGTTGCGAACTGCAAGGTCAGCAGTTCGAAACTACCAGCTGTTCTGTGGGAGAAAGATGAGACTTTCTGTTCCTGTAAAGATTTCAGCCTCGGAAACCCTGTACAGGGTTGCTATGAGTCAGAACTGACTCTACGGCACATAACCACCACCACCATATATAAACAAATAAAACAACAACAACACTCCATTAATATATGTAATATACAAATAGAAGCATTTGTATGTCACATGTATTAATGCTTTTTGAATCCTAAAAGAGTATGTTAACATGACACACGTTTGTCTTTGAATAGTTTGGTGTATTTCCTAAAAACAAGGACATTAACTTATATGAGGGGGCTTCAAAAAGTTCATGGAAAAATTCCATTATCTTTTAATTCCGTTTTCTATGAACTGAAGCCTCTCGCACTGTTGTCTAATATATGGACCTTATTTAGATGTGGCCAGTTATCTTTTTTTTCCCCCTTGTGAATTATATGAATGTTTACAGAACAGATCTGTTTTCCATTCAGTAATTCAGATATATTTTTTTCATGTTCTTGACTGCAATCCCCACACTGTAAAACATCACTTATCCCATTATCTTCCTTGTTTCTTGTTTTCATTCTTTCTTTCCTAACCCTTCTGAACTTTGTCCTTGGACAAATACTACTCTTTTGATCTCAAATGGTTGATTATTCTAAGATGTTCAAACCTCCCCAGCATTATTGTGTTCCCTATATACTTGTCTGTGGTTTGGCTGAAATTTGAGCCATGGGGGTGAGTACATTTCCAGACCTGAAGGGTGGTTAAGGGCCATTGTCTTGGGGATTCCACCAGCCTCTTTCTGACCAATAAGCCTGGTTGTATTTTATGATTTTGAGTTTTGTTCTACATTTTTTTCCAACTCTATCCAGGATTTTCTAGTGTAATCCCTTTCAGAGGAGTTGGTAGTGGTAGCCAGGCACTATCTAGTTCTTCTGGTCTCAGGGTTGTGGATACTGATACTTGCGTGGCCCATTGGACTAATTGTTTTCATGCATCTTCAATTTTCATCACTCTTGTTTCCTCCTGATAGAAAGAGATCAATAGTTAGGTGAACCTTAGATGGCTGCTCACAAGCTTTTAAGACCCCATTCACGACTCACCAAAGTAGGATGCACAGAATTGTCTTTGTGGACTGTGTTGTGCCAGTTGACCTTGGTGTCCTCTGAAACTATGGTCCTGAGCCTCTAGGCCCAGCAACTCATTCCCTCTAGGTGTTTGGCCAGCTGCCTTATATATATATAGCACAAGAAAGTTCTGGGTATTCATTGCTGTCAGTTGTCCTTAGTCTCCTTTAATCTGGAACAGTTCTTTCTTTGTTTTTTTTTCCTTTAATAAATGTTTTATTGTGAATTATGTGATAGTTTATATGGGAGAACATTAGTTTTACGTTCATTCTATCATATATCGTTTCATTTCCATAGTTACAGTCTCGTCCATGCATCATCAGCCAATCAAAGGGTATACCCGGCAAGCCTGCCCCCCCACCCACCCCTGGTCGTCAGCACACAGCCCCTTTCCCTCTCTGGATCTAAAGTCCCCAGCCACTCCATCTCTCCACATTATTGTCTCTGCCTCTATCTCAGGCATCACTGCTTCTCTGGGTAGGGTCCCGCTCTCCACTCTTCTCCATTGATGGTTCCAAGGACCTCCGCACCTAGATTGAAAAGTTAATCACTCCCCTCCTTGCTATAAAATGTCCACCTTTACATTTCCAACCCTCACAATCAGTCCTGATAACAATTATTCACTATTGCATCACAAGAGATCCATCTGCATTTCATTTCATCAGCCCTGCCTAGACAGATTGGATACGACTCACTGGAGACTCTACCTTCTTCCACGCCCTCTGGATCTAGGTTCCCTCTTGAAAGCTTGTAAGCCAGTCACTTCTTGCCTTTGTAGCTCCCGCCCCCCCCCCATTATGGGTAGCCAATGTCCAAGTTGCCCATCCTTGTCTACTCTGTGTGGATGGGGTGGGAATGATTCTTGCAGTAAGGATTTGTTTCCTTTTGTGAGCTACTGCTCAAGTTCATCAAATTGTATCAGATGACGCTTTTTTCCTCTTTCTTCTTCGGGTTGAGCTCTGATTATCCAGTCATTGAAGCCAGGTCAAGTGGGTATTATCTGCAAGTGTGGGTGTTCTTGTGCCTATCCGTTCTCTTCTTATCAGCTGGATGCTTCATTCTCCACTCTAGTCCTCTGTGGTTGTGTCACTGACTCTGAGCCCAAGAGGCCCCACGTCTTGCCATACTGCTGGCTGACCAGGTCTCCACCCGGGTTCACAGGAGTCTATTGAATGTTGTAGGGCTTAGGTTGCCACTTCATTGCTGTTTTTCCCTCACTTCTCCTTATGGGTGACATGCGTGGTCGCCAATCAGAGCGTGCATTCCATTGAGTCTTAGTCTTGGAAGAGGATTTGCACTGAGAGGACCTGACCACTTGCCTTGATGTCTCCTGGACAAGCAACTTGCTTGTTCTTGTAGTAACAGTCGGTCTGCCTTTATTGTTTTGTATTTTTCTTGTAGGTCTTTCTTTCAAGAAGTATC